TCAGAAAACCACACAACCCGTCGTTGTGTCGCTGAGACACTTTCACCCCCCAAATTGGCTCCTTGTGGGGAATGGGGGGAGTGCTGTGGAAGAAGAAAACACAGGGAATTTAGCCTTTGTAGACTGATTTACAGCACTAAAACTATGTTACATGACACTAAAACTATTTACATGCACCTAAAGTATAGAACACACTACAGCAGAACCCAGAAAAACTTTTTAACAGGGCCGTCTTATAAGGCATAGCATTAAGAATGACTTGTATTGGTGGTATGACATAAAGCAGGTAATGTGGAGAATGAACTCAGGATGTGATAACATATCTCTTGAAAAAACACTCCACGTGGTCTTCCTTCTTTTCTCCCAGCCGTTCACCTCCATGCCACGCCTGATCGCCACTCGGAGTTTCACTGTTCCTGGGGGCGGCTTCTGTCCTTCCTCGATCCTATGTCTACCTGTCAGCGGCTTCTCCATACAGCCTTGCGCAGGAGTCAGCGTCATCCACCCCACCACCACACCACTCAACTACAAGGGCACACACAGACAGAACGAGAAGTACACACCATGGAGTTCAGGTAAAACACATATCTTAATTCTATACGTGGTGCAGGGATGACGTAATTTTTGTAGCCGACCCGGAAGAGAGCTACTCCAAGAGGTTCCCGTCGACAACATACACAGGGTGTGGGGAATATTAGTAAAAAATAAGATCTGTCGCGAAAAAACAATCAATCAATCAATCAATCAATCAATCAATATTTATATAGCCCAATATCACAAATGTTACATTTGTCTCAGTGGACTTCACAGTTTGTACAGAATATCAGTATGACAATACGACACCCTCTGTCCTTAGACCCTCTGTCCTTAGACCCTCACATCGTACAAGGAAAAACTTCCAGAGAAAACCCACAGTTTAAAGGGGAACATGGGAGAAACCTCAGGGAGAGCAACAGAGGAGGGATCCCTCTCCCAGGACGGACAGACGTGCAATAGATGCCGTGTGTAAATCAAAGAGATAATACATTTTACAACATAGGTAGACCAAGTGTTTGGAAATGCATGTGTCTATAATAAGAAGATGAATCCACGAGGATGTCAACAATCCTGTGGGAGCCATCAGGGAAGTAGTATGGTGAGAGTCTGGCAGGACCGCAGAGACAGGTTCAGCCACGACTCGAAGTCCAGGTCTCAGATCAGGACTCAGGATAGAGGATCCAGGACGCAGGACCGCAACATTATCACTTATCTGGCCTATAGTTAACATGGCATTTCTACACCAGGGCTGTCTTCGACTTAAACATTTTTTAGGCGTTTTAACGATTTGTTCACACATAAGTTGATTTGATTATTAAATCTGTTGAACTAAGATTCTCCACAAAAATCTGGGGAAAGCACTACTTTAAATATTATAATTTACCAGAGATGTGTTGATAGTTTTCCTTATTGTCGTATGCACTATAGCTACAGCTCAGTTCCCAGGCTCCTCCAACAATGCAATATACTTAACATAAAAAGGAAGGAGACATATAATGGTGCAAGCGAGGTGCAGGAGGAAGAAAAATATGTACAACAAAGATAGAATAAATGTCAAATGAAATACCGTACACTACATTAATAATAATAATACATTTGATTTCTAAGTGCTTTTTCAGGTGCTCAAAGACACTCGGTAAACAGTGGTGATAAAAAGGAAATAAAATAAAAATATTAAAACAACAACACAACATAATTCACACATTAAAAGCCAGTCTGAATAAATACTGGTTAATGATAGTGATATATCCATGGTGAGATTTCACAGAGCTCTCAGCCATATGTTCTACTCTTTATATTAAAACACAGTTTGTGGTGTTATAGGTGAGGATGAGGAAGCAGCTGAGGATGAGGAGCAGCTCCAGCTTCCCACTCCGGAGGGTCTGAGCTCCGGGGAAACAAGGCAGCGCAGCCTGGACTCGGGAAGCCTCTCTCCTGGGGAGGATGCAGACTCAAAGGGTGAGGCGGGAACTAAAGTATGTCTTCCCCTCGAACGCTGACCCCCACCGTGTTGACAGGGGATTGGATTTGCTACAGCTCGAGCCTTATCGTAGCTGTCAGTGGGGGAAATTGTAAAAAGGGACCTCGGGTCGGCGTTGAGGAGTTCGGAGGCACTGCATCAGAGAGGGGGGGCTCCCCGGGGAAATCCTCACAGGCAGACACGTGTATTTAGAAGCTAATTTGGCAAGTGTTCCCGCAGAGTGGGTGAGGATGTAGACAGGAAGTGTAAGTGAGGTGACATTTCCTCTGGGGTTTCTGTGGCCTCTGAAGGAACCTGGGACACCTGCTGTTGCTTTGCAGGATGTCAATTGGATCAGTTACTTTTTGAAATGTATAAATAATGCGTAGAACCCTCCGATTTTAATCCTGGATTTATTCTGACACCTACTCAGAATACTGAATATAAATGATTTGATAACCAAATATTACGCTTTTTGGATTTTGACATTGCACTAGTCCATATTGCTATTTCAATTAATTGTGCCACCTTATTTAAAATGTCTCACCGACAGATGCACTGACCGATAGGCCAGAGGTCACTAACATATATCGTAAATGTTTTTATGAGCTGCCTCACACACACATACGCACATCGTGTCTGTTTGGCACCACCTAAAAAACACCAACTCTGTTCAGTCTAACCTTATTAAGTTGTTGGATCCTGCACTTCCGACTTGATGGCAACAATTCATGTTCACTGTTCACGACATGGTTAGGGTCAGAGTCAATGTTTTTGGCGAATTTATTATTATGGTATGTTTATTCTTAGTGTCTGAACATGTTTTCCTACACTCTTTGAGCAGATTTTCAATTCTAGTTCTTAGAAAAAACCCGCAATCAGGCGGTCCGAAATATTGAGTCCCTCTCACCTGCTGTGTTTGCCTCCTTTGCCCCTGCAGTCCGCTCCTTGAAGTGTGAGGTGTGTGGATCTCAGTTTGCCACGAGGCGGGGTCTCTCCATCCACGCCCGCTCTCACCTGCGCCGGCTGGGCCTCAGCGCTTCCGAGAGCTGGGGGGCGTCCGTCGACATCCTCCGCCAGATCTCCAAGCAGCGACACGTGGACGGCCAAAAACAAATCTCCTCTCTCCTGGAGCCCCTCTCCGCCAAGAACCCCTCTCCTTCTGATCCCCGGGAAGATGAGGCGTTAGGAGACATGGACTTAGACGAGAAGCCCCTCCCTCTCTCCCTCCTGGCCAAAGTAGCGAAAGCAGTGCGGCCCTGCTCTTCCTCCTCCTCTCCGGTCTCTTCTCCGGTTCCTCTTCGCTCTGGATCCCCCTCCTCGGTGGTGAGGAAAGCCCCCATCTCCTCTCTGCTGCCGGTGTCTTCCCCCTTACGTTCCCCCGAACGCAAGGCCGGGGGTATGAAAGGCTTTACCTCCAACCTCTCCAACAAACCCATCTGGGCGCCGCAGGAGAATGACGCTCCGCTCAACCTCAGTGAGTTTTGTTTTCTGCGTTCACATTTTTAAAATAAATGTCTTCTCTTAACCACTTGTCCTTGACCTCGAAGGAAAATGTTATGAGGTCAAGAAAAGATGCAAAGGAGAATACTTAAAGACAATTGTGTTGGTAAGAGTATCCCACTGCACTTATACAAGGCTACGGATGTTTGTTTTTTAAAAGCAACTTTATTTATAAGATTACGTCCTATGTCTTTTCCTATCCACACTTATTTGACCTCTGATAAAAGACAGCATGAGGCCAAGGGAAGATTATTAAGGAGAATGGTTGTAGTGTTAAAAATACTAGGCTATGGATGATGGTTATTTAAAAGCAACTTTATTTATAACACATTGAGTACAGTGACAAACTAGGATTCGTGTACAAAACAGGATCACACATCCTAAGGAGAATGATTTCATCTATTCATAGAAAACAATTGAACATTTCGGACGGCATTTTCTTGGTGAAGGATAGTCCAGTAGTGTCCCTTGTGCTAAAGTAGATAAGAAAGGAAGCATTGAACAATTTTTCCTTAGCGTTCAAAGAATTAAACCATATCTTATCATGGTATCCCGATTAGATTCTTCTTGGTGATTTTACACATTTCGAAACCTTCCTGAGGCAACAAACAGTATTCCACCGCAGCGTTATCTAACTTATTTCTTCTTCCTGTTCAGCGCTGGAGGTGGACCCCAACAAGGACATCGTGTGCCACCTGTGCGGCGCCTGGTTTGAGACTCGGAAAGGTTTGTCCAGCCACGCCCGAGCCCACCTGCGGCACTTCGGGGTGGAGTACTCCGAATCCAAGGGCTCTCCCATCGACCTGCTACACCGGCTCATCGACACGGACGAATTCAAGCACAAAGCCGGGGCCATGCACCTGGACGATGGTCCGCGGTCCGCCTCCCTGCTGAGCCTCTCCTCCTCTTCCTCCTCCTCTTCATCCCTCCTCTACAAGGTGACCACAGCTCGGGGGGGGGCCACGTCCAAAGCTACCTCATCGTTACTCGGCCCGCCTGCCAAGCGCAACAAGTCCTCCTCCATGAGGGTCTTCCGCCTGAGCAGTGGGGAGCTCATGGCCCTGCCGCACAGTGAGTGTTGTTCACAGTAGTTTTGGGACAATACTTAACATAAAGTGGGCTTCACATGTCCGAATTTGACCCGTAATGATTCTGTTTTCTGTTTTATTCTGTAAAAACACTGTTCTTGTGTCATTTCTGGTTTCCCTTCTTTTCGTGCCCCGCCCTGATTCTATCCACCTTTGTGTGATCACCCTGCAGCCCTTTGCTGTGTCTCAATTGGCGTACTTCTGTACTTACATCTGATATTTTGAGTGCATAAGCGTGTCCAAAATGTGAGCAGTGGGGAGCTCATGGCCCTGCCGCGCAGTGAGTGTTGTTTCACAGGAGATATGGGACAAGTAGAAACAAAAGTGGGCTTTACATGTCAGAATTATCTGTCATGATCTGGTTTTTTTCAGTTTTATTTAGTAAAAGCACCCTAGTGTCATGTCTGCTGGTTTTATGGGACAACACTTAACATAAAGTGGGCTTCACTAGTCCGAATCTGTTGATCATGATCTTTAATTGTTTTTGTTGTGTTTTGTTAAAGCTCTCTACTTGTGTCTTGTCTGATTTCACTTCTAGTCTTTATGCTTTCCTGCCTTTTTGTGATTGTATGCCCCGCCCTGATTCTATCCACCTTTGTGTAATTACTCTGCAGCCCTTTACTGTGTCTCAATTGGTGTACTTCTGTACTTACATTTGGTATTTTGATAGCATAAGTGTGGCCCAATGTGAAGTAGGGCAAAATGCACTATGAGTACCCGGGTGGTGCCCTCTTAACGGTCAAAAAGCACTCAAAGATCGCCCTATATTTTCTACGTAGTGGAAGTCTCATTACCAGCCGCCATTGCTGTTGCTTCAGTGAACATTACAATTATATGCGTGGTTTTCTTTCAATATTTATTTATCATCCTGGTGTAACGGGTCACAACCGTAAGCGACCTGTTATCGATCAGGAAACGACAGCGAAGCATCTGGGTGTCTTTTCTGGCATTTATTCTGAGAACAAAAACAATAGTCTCTTTACATCCGCGTTGCACATCCTCAGCAGTGCTCACTTCAATGTCTCTCTAGTATTTATTTATACATACTAGCTTATTTATACAATGAGAAATTATTAAATGACCAAGAAAATCTTATTTTTAAGTAACCAGACAAAATACAAACATACCTGAGAACAAAAATACATCCGCGTTGCACATCTTTACAAAAGAATAGAAAGTACAGTCAGAAAGTGTTGACATATAAACAAAGACAATGACGCAGATCGCGTCTATTTCCCGCCAAAACCACACCGTAGATATCACTCAAAAATACAATTTCTTATGGTGGAAACTTAACAAAAACGGGTTAATAATATACCAAAATTGACACTTAACAACATACATCACTTTCATAAACTTAAATAGCCGGTTTAACACACAAAATTGTAATTTATAAACTAATAATTATTTATACACATTTTTAACTCCGTTACACCTGTAGGCTATACTGCTGGGAAAATAAGCCCCCATACATTTTATTGGGTTAATTCAACCATCTGTAATGATTTTCTACTGCAAACAATAATGTTGCTAGCTGTTAGCCGTGTAGCTAGTTGGCTATTGTTGTTTTCGGTGTTTGATTTAAGACAACACTACACGGATGAAATGAATCCACAGTGCACGCAAAGCAGTTTGAAGTAACCCAATTGAGACACAGCACTTGTGTTGTTGCCTACGTTCTCCAGCTGTGTGTTGTTGATGTGAGCCTGTTTTCTCTCTCAGTTTGTTGTTAGTGTTTCCCGTCTTTGTTACCTGATGTGATCAGTCTGTCTTTATTCGTCCCCTGATTATTCCTCATGTTCCCCTGTGGATTTGCTACCCATGTTTAGTTTTGTCTGCTTTTCCTTGTTTTGATTTCCTTCTTCCTCAGTTTTGTGGTTACCAGCTTTTTGTTATGAGTTTTGTAAAGCTTGCTTTCGGTTATTTATACCTTCTTTCCTTTGGTTTCCGTGTTTGGGTCCACCGCCTGCTAGAACCTTGAAACCAGACACAACACAAAGATTTCAAGATTTCAATTTCAAGATTTCAAGGCTTTATTGTCATTAGCTACAGTGTAGATGTGTCAATGAAACACTTAGATCACAGGCTCCTCCAACAGTGCAACATATATAGAGGACATAGAACAGATCAAATATTGCAAGTAAATACAAATCAAATAGATATAGTGCAAGAAGAAAGAGAGTGTGTTAAGAAAATGAAACAGAAAATGAAACCAAGATTATGACACTGTTGAGGAGGGAAGTAGTGGAGTACAAATACTTTGTTACTGTACTTAAGTGCATTGTTCTGGTATCAGTACTTTACTCCACTACTTATTTTTCTGACGACTTTTTACTTTGGGTTCAAAATGTAAGAAGTCAAATACCTGTACTTTCTACTTCTTACATGTTGAACACAAATACCTGTACTTTCTACTTCTTACATGTTGAACACAAATACCTGTACTTTCTACTTCTTACATGTTGAACACAAATACCTGTACTTTCTACTTCTCACATTTTCCAAACAGCGATGTGGGAAGAAAGGAGTTCATTGTGCAATGTTCGTGCCGAAGACTTTACATGAAGTCTCATTTGTTTCATGGGTACTTGGGCTGGTCGATCAAAATTTTCTCATTGGACTGAGTGGAGAAATATGGAATCTTACGGTGGTGTGTAGTTACAGTAACAATCGATTACTTGACGAAGAGGGTACGACGGTGCCGGTTGTGAGCGTGTTGGCAAAAAGTAGACGCCAGCGAGAGAGTAGAGTATCTCCTATCTGGCCCTTTGACGGTACGCTAGGGGTGGCCTAGCACACAGTTTAGTTGATGCCGTGCGTTTACCTGAGGAGTTATTATTACTTTACTGCGTGTGTGTGGGGTGCTCTTGTGTTGGCACTGTCGGTGTGGCGCCGTGGCCAAAAAAAGTAAGTGTAGTGTCGCTAAGAACGAATCGTGTACCTCCACTCTACACATTTTTCTCCCTCAGCACACATTACCGTTGAGTGATCGGGCCGGTTAGGTCACCGTCGTCTAAGAAAAGGAGGCAAGTTTGCTCGTAAGTATTTGTACTGTAGTTTTGGGCGCCGTGGACAAGTTGTCGACGCGTAAGGGTTGGTGACTGGTGGGGGCCAGGAGTCTGTGTTGGCTGCACAAAAGACAATAACAAATAGAGAAAAACATTAACGAAACAGAAAAAAAACAACAGAAAAGAATTAAGAGACAGTTATCGCAGAAACTCAAGAGGTACTTTTCGCGATGATCTTTCGCACGGTACATGTCAATAATAATAATTAATTACATAATATAGTTGGTACCGATCAGTTTAAAGTGTCTAGATGGTAAAAGTAAATCCCTAACTTTCCTTTGCCGCACGGCGGCCGCGTTGGAGCCTACAGTTAGGACTTGGGTAACTAGACTGTCAAAATCTAATTGGTACGGGAGGTAGCAGATATTCCGTAATGCACACAAACTACTTACAACTGTACGAAGAGATGTTGAGTAACTACCTTAATATTGTCGCATTGTGTCTACGTCTTAGTCAGCCGGTTCCCCGATGCGACACTCTCTACGATTCAGGGTCTTAGGCTCTTCACTGGGTCTCTTCCACTTCGACACTATTACTTTGTTCAACGCACCATTACACCTATAAAGTCCCCGGTGGTTTGTTTGTAAGTTGCGGGATTTCTTGGTCGGACAACACCTTTTACACTCGCTTCACTCTTTCATGNATGATCTAACATGTCATGATAATGCAGGTTGCTTACCCTCAAATAAGGGGGTTCATCTGTGAATGAAGAAGAGTGGTGTCTAGAAGGGATCCAAGAGATTAAACAATCTCTTGGATCCCTTCTAGACACCACTCTTCTTCATTCACAGATGAACCCCCTTATTTGAGGGTAAGCAACCTGCATTATCATGACATGTTAGATCATGACTTAAGGTATGATGAGTCAACCAGTTAAGATCCAGACGTCCTTGACTAAAATCCTTCATCCGGTTAAATATAGTTAAAAAAAACGCAATATATATCGCAGGGGAAAAGAATATCGTTTTTTTCAATATCGTGCAGCCCTAAATGGAATATTCCCAATGTCTTAAAAGGAGCCCTTGCGATGCTAAATTCCAGGTTGAAGTACATCATACATACGTCATCCATGTACCACTTCATTATGTCATTTTTCTTGAACATTATCTGCCTTTAGCTTAGCGGTGGTGAAGTCATGTGTCCGTGATTGCCTAATGTTAGCTTTTTACTTATGGAGATTGCATTATTTTTTTTATTTTTTTTAATGTTTATTTATATATATTTTACACGTATAAAAGTGGTGTTAATATGTGGAGATAATCCTGCCGAACAACATTTTTGTTGGCCACAAATCTTATTTTCTGCAATAATCCAAAATCCAATGAAAGAATCCTATTGGGTTTTTGTAGAGGGAGCCCTTGCAATGATAACTTTTGGGTCAGCGTACAAAAAGACATCATTCATGTACCACTTGATTAACAACAACAAACAGCCTCTCCTCACCTTCTTGAGGGTGGTGCGGGTGCCCTGCATGTAGCTGCGATGCATCTCCAACACCTTCTGTGGCCGGCTGCGGATCCACGCGCTGAGCGTCTCGATGGGGGATCCGTTCACGCACCACTCAGTCACCCCAAACTGCCTTAGGTGGGCCCGGGCGTGGCTGGCCAGAGCCTTTCGGTTCTCAAAGTAGAAGCCACACAGCTCGCAACTGGGATCTGAGAAACACAGGGTAAATGGAGGACGTTTATATCGGGATTTTTCAGTCTTTTTGAGGGTTCATTATCTGGCCCAGGGTCAATACATGTTGACAACCGGGGCATGGGGATCGAACCATCTTTCCTTCTACTGGTTGGAAACCTTTTTTTTTTTTTTAAAGAAGGTTTTGAAATGAGTAAAATGACCCAGAAGAATCTAATTGGGAAGCTATAATAAGAGATGATGAGTTGAGTTGTAATGTGATTATCTCCTTTAGCATACACTGGATCATACTTTAACAAAGGAAAGGAGATAATGCCGTCCCACATTTCCTAGCAGCAAGATTTTAAGCGACACACCATTCCTTCAATTACCTTTTTAATTGTATTTAAAATATTGTTCTTAGGAGGTGGGATCATGTATTGGCCAGGAAATCTGACCTAAATTGTACAGCATTGAGTCTTTCATTGTACTCAATGTGTTATAAATTAAGTTACAGTCAAAACTAGACAAGTAAAATGTGCATTAGAATTTTCTCAGCACCATGGTTGACCCCCTCGCAATTCAACACAATATAATAAAAACCTCCGTACAACTCACCCTGGTGTCCGTGTTTGTCCGGGGAGGGTTTTCTTTTGTAGGAGAAATCATGCGTGAGAGGTGAGAAAGTCTTTAGTGAATGGGTGGTCTCCACTGATTGGCCCTCCTCAGAAAGAGGTCTTTTCCCCAGTGGAGACACCCTGAAGAACTTCCCTGCAGGAGGGGTAGCAGATGCAGACCCCAGACCCTGCTTGTGGAGCCTCGACCCCCCCGACTGCAGCAAACTCAGCGGAGATTTACGGTATTTAGACAACTGGTATCCAGAAACGCCCAAACCCTCTGAACTGCCGATGTTATCCCACAAAGGGCTGCTGGCTCCTGGAGTCGACTCCTTCTTCACTCCCTGGTCCGATCGAGAGGATGTTCCCCCCCCTTGTTTGTGCATGACCTCCCTCAGGGTGTCGATGGGCGAGCCGTTGACCGACCACTCGGTGATTCCCATCTGACGCAGGTGGGATCGGGCGTGGCTGCTGAGGCCTTTACGGTTCTCAAAGTATTCCCCGCAGAACTCACAGCGGATATCCCTCGTAGGCTCCACCTCGTGGGACATGGCTGTGGAAAGAGCAGAGGGAGACTCAGTGGAGAGAAACGTGGTTATTATAATCTAAATCAGTGTTTTTTCAGAGGTGGAAGAAGTACTCAGGTCTTGTACTTGAGTAAAAGTAGAAGTACTCAGATCTTGTATTTGAGTTAAAGTAGAAGTACTCAGATCTTGTACTTGAGTAAAAGTAGAAGTACTCAGATCTTGTACTTGAGTAAAAGTAGAAGTACTCAGATCTTGTACTTGAGTAAAAGTAGAAGTACTCAGATCTTGTACTTGAGTAAAAGTAGAAGTACTCAGATCTTGTACTTGAGTAAAAGTAGAAGTACTCAGATCTTGTACTTCAGTAAAAGTAGAAGTACTCAGATCTTGTACTTGAGTGAAAGTAGAAGTACTCAGATCTTGTACTTGAGTAAAAGTAGAAGTACTCAGATCTTGTACTTGAGTAAAGTAGAAGTACTCAGATCTTGTATTTGAGTTAAAGTAGAAGTACTCAGTAAAAGTAGAAGTACTCAGATCTGTACTTGAGTAGAAGTACTCAGATCTTGTACTTGAGTAAAAGTAGAAGTACTCAGATCTTGTATTTGAGTTAAAGTAGAAGTACTCAGATCTTGTACTTGAGTAAAAGTAGAAGTACTCAGATCTTGTACTTGAGTAAAAGTAGAAGTACTCAGATCTTGTAGGAATACTCTGTTACAGTAAAAGTCCTGCATTCAAAATGTTCCTCAAGTCAAAGTAGAAAAGTATTCTCATCAAAATATAGTGAAAGTAGCGACAGTGAAAGTAGTCATTGTGCAGATTGGTCCATTTCAGAATAATCGATGGATCGCGTGTATAACACTACAGACCAAACAAATATTTTCACGCCAAGAAATAGTACCTCACTATTACATGACATGGCTACTAAGAACCAGGACGAGTGCTACGATTAGCTAACCACCTGCACGTCGATGCTATCATTATTCCCCCAAAAAAAACCCAATACTCCACTCAGCACGTCATTCGCACTCGTAAAGTGAACGAGCACGATTAAATCTCCGAGTCGCGATCGACGACACAAAACACACTTCCTTTTTTCTAGCAACTGCGAGCTCCAAACGAGGGCAATCGGTCCGTTGTGTCATGAGTGGGGAGGACTGCGAGATCCTCGCTGCGAACCGGTCAGGCAAGACCGCACGTTAACACTGCGCGAGGATCACAGGAGTCGAGATTAGTGCCTGGTTTCTCGAAGGATGACTACGTTACATAAGGGTAATCGACCGTCATAACCGTGTCGAGTCCTTCGTAGCGTAGCCCAGGTACAGGCCATCGTAACTTCTCGGTTAAACCGCAGGAAGAGAGAAGAAATACTCCATTCGCGCCTCTAAAATGTGGCCTTGCATTCATAAGAGAAATGACAGATACTAAAATGGTCACTATAGACGGTGATGACTAATTGAGTTGTTTGTGGTACTAGATAGGAA